GACTGAAAATATTTTAAAGGTTAAGGGAATCCTTTGTGGTAAATTCGATCTGTTTACAATAATATATAAGCTTATTGTATTTTCACATGAATAGTTTCTCCTGCATTTCGACGGTATTTATTTTCAGTACCCGGTCGGTTTCTTCTTGGGCAATTGTTGTCCAGAAATCTCCGTGCTTTTTCCAAGGTTGTTTGGGTCTCTGCTAATGTCACACTTAATCACGTTTAATATCTCTTTGTTTCATTTCACAGATGTGGTCGATGGCGCGAAGTACAGATTTTATAGCTGATCTTCGATGCAACGTATGATCGATCCGACAGCTCAATTGGAGAGCAAAAATCAAAGTTGTCGCTGTTTAAGCGAGATTTTTGGCTCCCATTCAAGTTATCTTGGATTAGAACAGAAATCAACCAGTTCCATTGTCATGAATCGACAAATTTTCAATGTGGTGTTAGCGAGGACTACATTAAAATAGCCACACATAACTGAGATAAGTGCGTGCTCAAGGCAGTGTTATGGAAGCGGCATATGTTATCCGTATCCCATGAAATTAATTTTATCCGGGGAAAGTGACGGGTTTTACGGTCGTAGAAGCTTTGGATACTGTAATACATTATGGGTTTCAAGTTACCAACACGATATTTTCTTTTGTGTACATTTTTGACGTTTTCATTTTGGGCTTCACTCAATGTCATGTCTTTCATGTACGTGGGAACAAGTGACAAATTATACGAAAACCGGGGCCATGGGAGACATCTACAGAACGACAGTCCAACAGACAATTTTGAAGGAGAGATGGGACAGGAAAAAGATATTAGCACTTTGGGTTTAATTCGAAACAGAGAGGATCAGAAGGTTAGAGAAAAAGGCTACGAGAAGCATGCTTTCAATGAACTTATCAGCAACAGGTTGGGATTTCATCGTGAAATACAAGACACAAGGGACAAGTTGTAAGTACCTCAGTATTGCTTTGTCTTTATGATTTATGTTGTATAGGGGCACAGCAAGGATTTTTCAAAGAGGGGTCACACTGTGTCAAGTTGAGGGTACTCACCTGAGATTGTC